AGCAAGCGGGCCCCTCCGTGCATTGGACCAACTGGGGGACGGTGTTGGAAAGGGGGCTCCGAGTTCCTTGAAGAGACCCTGAGCAAAAAACGCCAAGCCGAGGGGAGCAAGGCCTTTCTTGGCAGCGAACCTGCATCGATTTGGGGCGTGGAGGCCGGGATGGGCATCAGTCACCTGGTCCGCGGGAACCTAGGCAGCCGTGCGCCATCCTCGGTGCCCGGGAGAGGACTGGAGAGACGAAGGAGGCCACCGGTGAGCTGGGCTCCGCTCCCTCGGGTGGCTGACCTTCAGGCCACGGCGGGGCGTGTGAGAGACCAGCGCTAAGACTGGTCACCGTGGGAGTCTGTGTCTTGAAGACGTGCCCGAGAGACAATGGCCGGCTCTCTGCCTTCCACACTGAAAAGGCCGGTGAGTGAGGGCCGAGCCCACCTCTGCTCCGGGCCTGTCTGCTCAGAGCGCGTTCTGCGCCCACGAGGGGCTGGTCCCCGGCGCCGCTCTCCAGAGTCACTGTGCTGGACACACGGCTGTCCGCGTCACTGCTGCCACCTGTGGACAGCCCCCCCCACACACACACACACCCTCGCACCCGGCCCCACAGCAACATGTTCCCTCCGTTTCCGGGGACGCCCAGAAATGTTTCCCTGAGGAAGCCAGGGGGCCCGCCGTGGCACCCGATTCTGCCTGTGGTTTTGAGAAGAACGTCGGAGCCGCGGAGGAGAAACAAACGACACAATAAAGGTCCCTCACGGCAGATGTGACAGCGGGCGCACAGGCGTCCGGCTTTCCGACAGGGACCAGGGCGGTGCCCTCACTCTGAGGGTCCTTCCTGCCGGCCGCCTGGCTCTCGTGTGTGCCAACAGCGTCGGAAGCTGCTCTCTGGGCTCCTTGTCATGTCTCCAGCGAGAATGCGTGCATGCCTCTCCTCTGTGCGTCTCCAGCCCGAGCACACGGGAAATCAGCCTCAAATATCCATCAAGTGACTATCTGCTGACACGCTACAGCATGACCAGCGTGACGGGCAGTTCCTGGGCCGCCCGGGGTGCTGGGCCAGTGACGTCCTCAGCTCGGGAGGGAGCCCAGCGCAGGCAGCTCCGCCATGTCCCGGAGGCTGAGAGCTCGGCCCCATGAGGCCGGGGTCTCCGGGTGTTCACAGGGCACTTCCTCTCCGGGTGCGGGCCTGTCTTCAGGACCGAGGGCTGTACTGTCACCTTGGTTTCTAGGGAACTGTGTTGTTTACAAAGACCATAATTCTATTTAAACACCACTGGCCATGTGTCCTGTGTGCCAGAGGCAGTGCAAACTGTTCGCTAGCACAGTGTCTCTCCTCTCCAGATGCAGAAAAGCTAACGCGAAGCGATGGTAGGGTCACACCAGTGATGCGTGGAGAAAGGGACACTCTCACGTCGAGGCTCTGCTTCCAAACGCTGAGCTGTACCTGATTTTTAAAACACAAGTATCGCCCGAGCCTGTTCGGCTCCGTGGATAGTGTCGGCCTGAGGACTAACCGGTCCCAGGTTCGATTCTGGTCAAGGCCACATGCCCGGGTTGTGGGCTTGATCCCCAGCGGGGAGCATACAGGAGGCAGCTGATAAATTGATAAATGATTTTCTCTCATATTGATGTTTCTATCTCTCTTTCCCTTTTCCTTCCTCTCTGAAATTTATATATATATATATATATATATATATATATATATATATCCTTTAAAAAAAATACAAGTATCTACTGTGTGACGTCACATACTATAACAGGCTGTTGCCTTACACTTTGTCCAGGTCCAAGATTTTATTTACCCTAAACGTGACTTTTCAACACATAGTCATTGCCAGGCAAAAACAGGACTTGCACGGTGCGAACGGTGGACTATTGCCTATTAGAAAAAGTCACGCTATTGAATTTATCATTTAATAAGGAGAGGTTTCAGGATTGCACACCTCCCCTGCGCACCTAGCGTGAGCTCAGTGTAACGGCTGAGATGGTGGCACCAGCCCCCCAGGCAGCTAAGCCCAAAGAGAAAACTATTGAATTACCAGGTTCCTTGTCGGATCCAGGGAAACAGGCGCCCCCTGGTGGGGATGCCCCTGGTCCGGGGGTTGAATTCCAAGAGGAGCTGTACTGCAGGTAGTTGGAATTAAAAACAAACGAGGAAAGAAATTTGAACGACAGTTTTGCAAATCATGTAGAAAACTCAGATAGTTGTGGTTTTTTTACATCAGTTCTTTTTAAAAGAATAACTGACCTAAAAAAATTAACTACCAGGGAATTTTTTATGGAAACTGAGGATCCCAGCAGAGAAACAGAGTCATTTGGGAATTATATTGAGACTAGAGGCCCGTGCATGACATTCGTGCACTGAGGGGGGTTCCCTCAGCCTGGCCTGTGTCCTCTCATAGTCCGGGACCCCGAGGGGTCCTTAGTGCTGCCATGGAAGAAGGGGAGGCTCCCACCACTGCTGCACTTTCCAGCCAGGAGGCTGGCTTCTGGCTGAGTGGCACTTCCACAGGGGGAGTGCACTGACCATCAGGGGGGAGCTCCTGCATGAGCATTTGCCCCCTGGTGGTCAGTGCATGTCATAGAAACCCATTGTTCCACAGTTTGATCAATTTGCATATTAGCCTTTTATTATATAGAATAGAGATAGAGATAGAGATAAAGATAGAGATAGATTATGTGGATTTATATATAGATACATAGATATAGAGAGAGATGAGAGAGGTGATATAGATATAAATATAGATATGGAGATATAGATATAGATATAGATATAGATATAGATATAGATATAGATAGATATAGATATATAGATGTAGATGTAGATATAGATAGAGATATGCTCAGATGTCCCCTCACATCTATAGATGCACACAGACATATGGATACCTCATCATCTGTATCTCTATCAACTTACCCAGAGAGAGATTGGTTGCAAGAGATTGGTTGTGGGCTGGTAGGCGCAACCCGAATCCACCGGACTGTCCGCCAGGAGGGCCTCAGGGCCTCGGGTGTCGCTGAAGGCCTCTCTTCATGCACGGCCTCAGCCCTGCTCTTGAACCTTTGGGTGGTTGAGCCAGGCCCGTGTGCCTGCCTGGGTGTCTCTCCAGGAAAGGACCCAGTCACAGGCCTAGAGGCCTCCAGATCCCATCACAGACACACCCGCCGGCTTCGGACGAAGCAGCCGGGCTGCAGACCAGCCACACAGACTCACAGAGCGAACCCCGTGCAGCTCAGATAACACAGTTTCCACTCCCTGCTTCTGCTCAGGCCTAGCGAGGGGGGAACTCAGACAGCCAGCAGAACGGGGTGTGCTACTCTTGTAATGTTGTAAAGGCTTTAAACATTATTTGTTAAAAAATTAAGCATTAACTGTTTTGGTCCAAATAACATAAGAATGGATGCCTTAGTGACTTAGTCATTTGAGGGGAAAGCAGTTCATATAAATTGAAAAACAATGTTTTTATTTTGCTCTTTTTTAAAATATATTTTATTGGTTTTTTACAGAGAGGAAGGGAGAGAGAGAGAGAGCTAGAAACGTCAATGAAAGAGAAACATCGACCAGCTGCCTCTTGCACATCCCTTACCAGGGATGTGCCCGCAACCAGTGTACATGCCCTTGACCGGAACCGAACCCGGGACCTTTCAGTCCGCAGACCGACGCTCTACCGCTGAGCCAAACTGGTTTCAGCTATTTTGCTCTTAAGTAGCTCCATCTCCTGCTCCAAACAGATGCCACTGAGTGGTTTCTGGCTGACATCTTCACGCAGGAGCCCCTCACAGCCCCGCCTCGCACACATGGGGAGTCGTTACAAGGAGGAGGGCGGACCGAGGGGCCCGGACGCTGCGCCTGCCTCTGTCCGTGATCACACAGCCTCCAGCGGGTGTCCAGTGTGCCTGGGGGCACCTCAAACCTTCACCGACACCACTGCGCCTGTGAGCTCGTTGTGGCGCCCCGGGGTGCCGTGGAGCACAGTTTGGGAACTGGAGGCCTAAGCACAGTCTTAGGTTCTGGGTGATGGAATTTAAAGCCTGGCCATTTTTTAATAGAATCCGACCCTGATACTCATTCCGTGGAGACGGAGCCATTTCCGTGGGAGGCCGCTGCCTGGGGGGCTCATGTCCGCGGCCCCTCTCAGTGGAACTCAGGAACAGGGCCTGGGCAGTCGCCGCGGCGTCCGTTCGCGCGTTGCATGCCTGTGGCCACAGCGCAGGGTGGACTGAGCTCCATGCTCCCGCCGTCCCGCGCTGTGCTTCACCGCTGGCTCTCCGCCCCGTGTGAAGGGCCTCATGTCTCCGTCGGAAAAGACCTTTCTTCTGACAAACTGAGTGAGCCCGGGTGTCCTCCCCCGCGACCCTCACTCCCTGACCCGGCCACTGGCCACAGGACGGGACGGTGTGCCCGGCCAGGCCCACAGCCCACTCCACAGGAAGCCGTGGGCGAGATCTCACAGTGAGCCCTGCTGAGCAATGGAACCTACAGCATGGGCCACACAAACAATAACACACACACTCAGCCACACAAACAGACTCACACACACAACCACACTCAGCCACACTCACAGACTCAACAAACACAACCACACTCAGCCACACTCACAGACTCAACAAACACAACCACACTCAGCCACACTCACAGACTCAACAAACACACAACCACACATAGTAGCAAGCACACACTATTACACAGACACACACAATCACACTCCCAGTAACAAATACACAACCACACTCACCCACACTCGGTCACAGTCACACTCACAGTCTCACACACAGTAACACACACACTCACACACACACACACAGTCACACTCCCAGTAACAAACACACAACCACATATAGCAGCACATAGACACACAGTCACAGCTGGCACAGCCCTGTGACATGCGTGTGCCCACAGCTGGCACAGCCCTCTGACACGCGTGTGCCCACAGCTGGCACCGCCCTCTGACACACGTGCCCCCACAGCTGGCACAGCCTCTGACACGCATCCTCCCCTCTCCCCGCAGCTCGTCTTCTGCCGGGACTGTAAGGACGCCTTCCACGAGGGGGCGTGCAGCGCCCTGGCCACCGCCTCGGGGGCCGCCGCTCAGGTAAGGAGCCTCCAGGGGCTCAGGGTGGGGCGGGGAGGGCTCCATCCGGAAGGTCTCGGAGGGCCCCCCTGAATCCACAAGACCAGCCGGGAGCCTGCAGCCTGGGCGGGCCGAGCTCCTGGGCCATGGATCCTTCCAGAAGCACGCCCCGGGGCGGAGCTGAGACTCCCCCGGGGGCGCCGGGCTCCGCGTGGCGGGGACAGGGTGAGGAGCCCAGCAGGTCAGAGGGCACGGGGAGTCCACCCCGCAGCCACCTCTCCCCCCGAGTCCGCTGGCCTCGTGCTTCTCCCTGCAGAAGGGTCTTTGCTTAGGCCCGTGGTCGGCAAACTGCAGCTCGCGAGCCACATGTGGCTCTTCCACAAAACACCACGGCCGGGGCGAGTCTGTGTTGAGGAAGTGGCGTTAAAAGAAGTTTAAGTTTAAAAAATGTGGCTCTCCGAAGAAGTTTCAGTCGTTGTGCTGTTGGTGTCTGGCTCTGTGGACGGAGGAGTTTGCCGACCTCGGGCCTAGACTCGGGCAGAAACGGCCTCGGCGGGACATGCCAGGGAGGCAGGCTCCTGCCAGTCTGTCCCTGGGCGCAGGGAAAGCGGTGCGGGGCGCCTCTCCTCCACCAGGTGGCGCTGCCCCCCTGCGGGAAGTGGGAAGTTTTGCCAGAAACGAGGCCAAGCGGAATGACCGAAAGGAGTGTGCGCTTTCAAGGATAGCAGGACCGTTTCCAGGGGAGCGCTCCTGGCAAACACGCTGGGTCCCGGCTGCTGGGAGCCCTCAGTCCCTCCGTGGTGGGAACCGGGCGGCACATACATGCCGTCTGCAGGGGCAGGTGGATCCATGGGGCATTGGTCCCCGCTCTGTCCCAGCACCCCTTTCCCCCGAGGCAGGGCGCTCACCCTGACACGCTGGTCTCCACGGGCCCGTCACGTGTCACAGGACCCCGTGTGTCTGTCTCCGTCCGCCGGCCTGAGGGCCCGAGGCCGGGCCAGGATGGACGGAGTGCCTGGCTGCTGTCAGCCTCCTGCTCCAGCCAACCAGCCGCCTGGCCAGGCAGTGAGCCGGCTGCTGAACACACACCCGAGGTCCCCTGTCACCACCGACCTCTGAGCAGGCAGGTGGACACCACGTCCTCCCCTGCCCTCCGGAGCATCGGGAAGCTGGAGCCGCCGTGGTGCCGGCGTGCTGCCCTGTAACTGAGACCCCTGTGCTGTCAGCTCAGAGCCATTCTTCCAACCGCCACCCAGAGGCCCCTCAGCAAGGCGCGCTCACACCACCCGCCCGTCCGCCTCGCAGGCTCCATCACTCCCGGCCCTCTGATACCTCTCTCCCGAGATAGGGGTGTGTGTGTGTGTGTGTGTGTGTGTGTGTGTGTGTGTGTCCAGAGGCACAGTAATCGTTTCAAGAATGTGAGACTAGCAAAGCCAGCTTATGGACACCTCTGTGCCTGGAGGGGATGCAGTGGCCCGGCTCGCCAGCAGGGGGCGGGCTCTCACAGGCAGTACGTGCCCGTGGCCGTGGCCGTGGCCGGGAAGTCGGAGGCTGTTCTGCGGTGGCTGCGGGGAGTGAGTGTTGTCTGGCGGTCGGCTTGGAGCAGGGGGACCCCCCTGAGACTCTCTCACTGAGGGGAGCCGCTGTGTGGTGGATGGTGGGGATCTGGCCCTTTTGGAAAACGATTTAAACTGACTCTTGGAATGAGGATTCACTGGTCCGGTGATTGCCTAAACCGCTGTCGCAGAGGAAGAAACACGCGTGTGAGGTCTCTTACATGTATGTTAGCAGCGTCTCCTCGGCACAGAGTCACACGGAACCCCACCCAGGTCCGTGCTGCGTGGCGGGTGGCAGACACCAGCTGAGCCTGCGCCTCCTCGGGCCCAAGCGGAAGAGCCCCCCCCCCCCCCCCCCCCCCCCGCCGAGGCGTGTTCAGATTCACATCCCGGGCCCCGCCCACCCCACCCACCGACTCCGAGCTGTGCGCTCGGACCCGTGGCTGGTCTGTGGTCACTGGGAACGGTTTGACACCTGTGTCCGGCGCCAGGAGGTGCGGCGTGGCCTCGGGGAGGGCTCCAGGCTGCTGGCCTCTCCTGAGCCGCGCCCAGCGCCGCCCTCCCCCCAGCCCGCACCCTCCGCCGTACGTGGGCTCCTGCCCGGTCTCAGCACCTCCGCCCGGCGCCCCGGGCCCTCGCAGACACCCCGTCCCCCCGCAGGCCTACCGGGTGGACGCGCGGGCGGCCGAGCAGGCCCGCTGGGAGGAGCGCTCCCGGGAGACCATCCAGCAGACCACCAAGCCCTGCCCGCGCTGCCGCGTGCCCGTGGAGAAGAACGGTGAGTCGGGCGCTCCCCGGGGTGCCGTGGCCCTGAGCGTGGTCGCGGCCGGGCTGCCTACGGTCACGGCGCTGAAACGCCAGCCCCGCGGTGCGGGTGAGCTGGCCATGCCCGGCCCACACAGGAACGATGCCGGACGCTGCCCAGCTGGTGCTCCCAATCCCAGCAGGGCTCCTGCCCTGGGTGCCGGCCGGGGAGGGAGGGAGGGATCCCCGCCAAGGGAGCCGGCCTCGGGGGTCCCTCCGCCCCGGTGGACAGAGGCAGACCGTCCTGGGCTGGGCGGTGCCCTCGGACGGCCCTCAGCCTGCCCGTGCTTTGCCCGCAGGCGGATGCATGCACATGAAGTGCCCGCAGCCCCAGTGCCAGCTGGAGTGGTGCTGGAACTGCAGCTGTGAGTGGAGCCGCGCCTGCATGGGCGCCCACTGGTTCGACGTGTAGCCGCTCCGGAGCCCCACTCTCCCTTCCTCCCGCACACACGCACACATGTGCACACGCACATTCGCGCCCTCACACGTGTGCACACAAACATAGGCGCACACGTGTGCACCATTCTTTCTGAAATGGCGTCAGGTGCGGCAGCCCTAGGAGGCGCCCGAGGGCTCCCTCCACGCACTTCATCCCCTGCCATCTCGGAAGCTGCTTTCTGAAAATACCACCGAATCTGCCGTTTGCTTGCCGACATTCATGCTGTGAACCGCGGGGCCGGTGCCCGGAGGGTGCCAGGTGCCAGGCCTGGCCGTTGAGCAGCCTCCCGTGGGCACGGCGGAGGGGGCGGGTAGCTTGCCCTCACCCTGCCCGCCTCTGCCCTCGGCCGTCTCCTCTGCCCGCGGGGACCCCGGAGGCTGTGGGAGCAGCAGAGGATGTGCCCCTGCTGAGGGGGACGGGCCACCTGCCCTCTGTCCGAACCCCCGTCCGGGACAGCCCTCCTGCTCCCCCTGGCCCCGGCCGCCAGCTCAGGGGAAGGCACGGCCGTGACCGGAGGCCTCCGGAGCGGGGACACGAGAGGGCACACGGGCCTCGGAGCGGCCTGTCCTCTGTCCAGCCAGCAGCCCGGAGACCGCCCGCCAGCGGCTCTGCTCCAATGTCAATAAAGCCGCTGAGCCTCTGAGTCCCTGTGAGATGTCTTTTCCATAAAGGCCGGGGCGGGAGGGGCGTCCCTGAGGGGGCTCCCTGAGGAGACGGCGGTCACTGGCAGCATTATTGACGCCCCCACTTCCCCTTCACCCCCATCGAGTCCTCCTTCCCGCCCCTCGCCCCCCGCCAGGCCTCCACCACCCCAGGCTGCCTGTGGGTTCTGGATACGCATGTATGTTATCAAGTTAATATCCCAGCCCCCTCCCCCCCTCCCTCCCACCCCCACCCCTTCAACCCCCATCCCACCCCCTCTGAGGCCGGTCAGTCCGAGGCAACAGGAGTTTTATCTGGAGTCCAAACCCGCGTGGGTTTCTTTTCCCAGTAAGGTTCTTTCTCGCGTGCTCTCTGCTGGGACTGCACGCCCCCTCCCAGGTGGCCCAGGGGGTCCCGGAACCCGAGCCCCGGCACAGCCACAGGGAAGCGCAGGCCCCACGGAGGGCGCTGCCTCCGAGTCTCGGGCTTGGTGTGAGCTGTGCCTGACTCAGCATCCACTCTCCATGCCCCGTTTCACTGTCGTTTCTCTCCGTCTTTCTTTTTGTGACAACGTAATTATCCCATCATCACGTGCTCGTTACCGGGGTGAGAACGGCAAAAGGAAAAGAAAAGATTGCCACCGAGTGCAGGGCCAGACGTGGCGGGGTCTCCCTTCTCCTCATCCAGCACGGAAAGAGAGATGAACGAACCAGCTCTAAGTGGAAGCGGCCAGAGACTGAGGAAATAGAAGAAAGAAAGAAGAAAGAAAGGAAGAACGAAAGAAAGATGCAGAAATAGATTTAAAGCTGGGAGCCGGGTGGGACGCTGCCACTCTGATGGAGGGACAGGACCCAGAGCCCACACAGCACATTTATTTTATACCCCAAATACCAGGAAGTATCACCAGAACTTAGGCTCAACGGAGCTTATTTGCATTCCTGGTGCTTGCCTGGATTTACATATCAAAGCCCACTCCCCACACCTGGCCAGAGGTAAGGCAGTGCTGATAACACGTCCGGCCTCATTGGGGAAGCATGTTCCCAGGGCGTGGCTCCGCCTGTCGCCCTGAGTTCAGCTGATGATAATTAAGAAGTGCCCACGTGTCTTCCCAGGCGCTGTCTAAAACCTGGAAATGATTACTCCGCACCCTCATTTCCACGGAGAAGGCAGTGGGGATTGACAAGACACCGTGCCCGGGGAAGCCGGGGAGAGAAGCAGCAAGCACCTCCTGAGGGCGCCCGGAACCATGCGTCAGTCATTACAGACTCACTGTCCACACTTCCAGTGCAGCACACGGGTGGCCTACAGCACACGGGTGACCTATAGCACATGGGGTGACCTACAGCACACGGTGACCTACAGCACGCGTGGTCTACAGCACATGGTGACCTACAGCACACGGGTGACCTACAGCACACGGTGACCTACAGCACACGGTGACCTACAGCACACGGGTGACCTACAGCACACGGTGACTTACAGCACACGGTGACCTACAGCACACGGTGACTTACAGCACACGGGTGACCTACAGCACACGGGTGGCCTACAGCACACGGGTGACCTATAGCACATGGGGTGACCTACAGCACACGGTGACCTACAGCACGCGTGGTCTACAGCACACGGGTGACCTACAGCACACGGGTGACCTACAGCACACGGTGACCTACAGCACACGGGTGACTACAGCACACGGGTGACCTACAGCACACGGTGACTTACAGCACACGGGTGACCTACAGCACACGGTGACCTACAGCACACGGGTGACCTACAGCACACGGTGACCTACAGCACGCGTGGTCTACAGCACATGGTGACCTACAGCACACGGGTGACCTACAGCACACGGTGACCTACAGCACACGGTGACCTAGGAAGCCAGGGGGCGGGGAGCTGTGAGGACGCCTCCTAAAGCCACAGCTGCCCCAGTCAGTGCCCCCACCCCCCCCCCTCCCCCCCCCCCCCCCTCTGAGCTCAGCACCGTCCCCGCAGCACAAAGGGCTTTTCATCCCCGCGGGCGGCAGTCCCGTCGCTGCCGTTTTGTTTATCAAACATTGTGATTGTTGTAGCTACTGTGTTACCACTTCCTCTAAGAAAGCTATTGTTGGGTTTTAGAGAAAAGGAGAGGCCAGATGCGGTTTATGGAAAGCAGAGCGTGGCCCCAGCTTCACTCCTCTAACGGGCCTGCACCTCGCAATCGATGCGGCTGTCCTTGCCCCGTCCCCATCCCCTGTCCCTGTCCCAGTCCCCCGTCCTGCACAACATCACGCCCCCCCTGCTGACCTGGTCACCCCCCAGTTACCCCCCTGCTGACCTGGTTACCGCCCCCCCAGTGGCCCCCCTCTGGCCTGGTCACCCCTTTGAGTCCCCCTGCTGGCCTCATCGCCCCACGCAGCCTACTGTTCAGCCGTTTGGTCATCCCTCACTAAGCCCCCTGCCAGCCTGGTTATAGGCAGCCATGTTGTGAGGGCGTGAAGGTTAATTTGCATATCACCTCCGTATTCTATAGGGTTTCTACAGGGGCTTAACGCCGAGGGTGCCCTGCTATCTGCTACCGTGGTGAGGGTGCCGCCGCTGTGGGTGCCGGGACGAGGGTGCCACACCTGTGTGCGCAGCCGCGCCTGACTCTCCCCGTGCAGGCGGCTCCTCAGTCTCCGCTGGGCTGTGCACGGAGGCCAACCCCGCTCCCCGAGCGCACCGCCTGGTGTGGCCGCGACGGCGAGCTGTCCCACAAAGCCTGTCTGTGAGGCCCCGCACAGTGAGCAGTCACCGGGGCCGCGGCTCCCTCGAGGGGGCGAATCTGCGTGGGGAGCCGCCTTCCCCGCTGCCCCGCGATGAACCGGCCGCTCTCGGGCTGAGAGAGGCTGCAGCCTGGGCGCTGAGGGGGCTGGCGAACACAGTGCTCCCCCCCGCTTTGAACAGGGTTTGCCGAGTTCCTGGCCGTCCCCCGGCCACCAGTGACTTACACACCTCCCCCCTCCGCACCAAAAGCCGCCACCGCGGAATGCAGGCCGCTCGGGGAGGTGGCTGCCGAGATCAGTGGGCAGCACGGAGGCCCTTAGTTCCGCCGGGAGGTGAGGAGCGTGCGGGCCACAGGCCTTCCCACGTCCTGGGAGGCGCTGCTGCCGCGCTAGCATTGGCTTCCGGCACTGAAACATCAGCGAGGAGAGAGAACCACTGGCCGGCTGCCTCCTGCACACCCCCTGCTGGGGATGGAGCCCGCAGCCCGGGCCTGTGCCCCTCATCAGGAACCAAACCTTGACCTGCTGGTTCATAGGTGGATGCTGAACCACTGAGCTGCCCCGGCCAGACTGTCCCTTGCCTCGCATTTGACATTGTTTCTTGGTTATTCCTGCCCTCAGACGCCCGCCCGCCCACGCACCAGTACGAAAGCCCGCCGATCGGCTGGAACAGGACTCTGAGGTAACTGTCATCGTGTTAGGTGAGGAGAAGACAATCACTTTTCCTTTTCTCTCTCTTCCATACCAGGGCCTGGCTGTCTCAGGGCCAGCGATGCCTCCTGAGATTTCCAACATGGACCGGCAGCAGCGGCTCCCCAGGTGACAGCACTGAGCCCTCGGCTTATTCGGAAGGATGAAAGGAGAAGGCGTTGAGGAGAGAACACACACAGAAACCTCACAGGTACAGACAGCTGTCCGGTGAGTAGCAGAGGGAAGGGGGTAAATGGGGCGTGTACATCGCTCCCTTTTACTGTACCCCCACCCCACCCCCGTCGGACTGGCTGAGAGCTGATGTGGCAGAAACAAACGGGAATGAGCTAGGAGCCCCCTCCCTCCCTCCTCCGCTGGGCAGCACGGGGGCTGGGGCGGCTGCCATTGGTTGAGACGATCAGGTACAAGCATTGAGGACAGATTAAAAGACTAAAAAATGGCCCCTGCCAGCGTGGCTCAGTGGGCAGAGCGTCAGCCTGCGGACTGAAGGATCCTGGGTTTGATTCCGGCAAAGGCACACGCTCGGATTGCGGGATCGATACCCAGTGGGGGCGTGCAGAAGGCAGCCGGTCCATGATTCTCTCTCATCACTGATGTTTCTATCTCTCTCCCTCTCCCTTCCTCTCTGAAGTCAATAAAAATATATTTAAAAAAAAAAATAGCCGAAACCGGTTTGGCTCAGCGGTAGAGCGTCGGTCTGCAGACTGAAAGGTCCCAGGTTCGATTCCGGTCAAGGGATGTACATTGGTTGCGGGCACATCCCCAGTGGGGGATGTGCAAGAGGCAGCTGGTCGATGTTTCTGTCTCATTGACGTTTCTAGCTCTCTCTCTCTCTCCCTTCCACTCTGTGAAAAATCAATAAAATATATTTTT